TTCCGATTTTTTAAACTTCCGTGAGTTATGCAATTTCACAATTATGTATTACATTTTTCAATTTAACAATTTTTTAAATTTTTAGTTTCTCAATTTTGTACTCCTTGATTTTTCTGATGTTTCAATTTCTCGATTTCTAAATTGCGACGTTTTCAAGTTTTTGATTTTCATTTGATTTATAATTTTTAAATTTTACAATTTTTCGTTTTTCAGTTATTAGATTTTTCAATCTTTCCATTTTCAGAATTTGAAAATTTTAAATATTTCAGATTTGAAGTTTATTGATTTTTTAAATTTTTAGAATTTTCCGATTTTGAATTATTCCACGTTTCAGTTTCTCGATTTTTAAGTTTTCAATTTTTCTATTATTTTATTCCAATTTTTTTGCTCTCGAATTTAAATTCTGCTAAATTTTCGACTTTTCAAAATGAATTTTGTTATTTTTCGATTTTTAAAATTTCCCTTTCTAAGTATTGTGATTTTCAATTTTACAATTATAATTTTTTCAGTTTCTCAATTTAAAATACGCGATTTTTCCGTTTTTCCAATTTTTTGGTTTTTAAATTTTCAATTTTTGATTTTTAATTTTACATTTTTTAGATTTCTCAATTTTTCAATTTTTGATTTTACAGTATTTTAAATTTCTTCATTTTTTTTCCTGTTATTTGCAACTTTGCTAGTTACCAATACCAAATGTTAATTTTTTCAATGTTTCGATTCTCTTTGAACTGAGTTTCTCGATTGAAAATTTTTTGATTTTTCAGTTATTTTGTTATGTTTTTCTAATTTTCTTTTTTTAAGTTTTTTAATTTTACCATTTTTACCATGCATTTTTTACTTTTTCTAATTTTGACTTTTCTATTTTTCAATTTGCAATTTTTTTTGTCTTACAATTTTTCGATTTTACTTACAACTTTTACATTTATCAATTTTTCTCAATTTTCTTATTTGTAATGTTTGAATTTTACGATTTATCTGTTTTATAGTTTGTAGATTTCTCAGTTTTCATTTTTTGCGAATTTACAATTTTAGATTTTGCAATTTTTCAAATTTTAGATTTCTAAATATTTTGATCATTCCTTTTTTTCTTTCATAATGAAATTTTTAGATTTTTCAAGTTTGGAATTTTTTGATTTTTTAATTTTTTCAAGTTACAATTTTTTCCATTTTTGACTTTCCCGATTTTTCAGTTATTAAACACCAATTTTCTCCTATTGAATTCAAAATTTTATGATGTTTTAAGTTTTTTGAATTTTACTTTTTACCGATTTTTTGATTTTTCAGTTTTTCGAATTGCAATTTTTGAATTTGTCAATATTCCGATATTTTAAGTTCTCAATTTTATAATTTTTACCGGTACATTTATAAATTTATCGATTTTTCAATGTTTTAATATCTTTTTTTTCATTTTGTCGATTTTACAATTTTTCAAACTTTGAATTTTTTGATTTTTAAGTAATTCATTTCTTTAAATTTCGAGTTTTCTAGTTTTGAATTTAAAATGTTTCTATTTACGATTTTTCAAAATGAAATTTTCTATTTTTCAAAATTTACGACTTTTAGAAATTTTTTAAATTTTCGATTTTTTCGATTTTTCAATTTTGCGATTTTGCAATTTTTCGATCTCTCAATTTTTGCTTTCTTCAATTTTTTGAATTTTTTCATTCTTGAGTTTCTCATTTTTAATTTTTCGATTTTTCAAAATTAATTTTTCTATTTTCCGATTTTTACTTCCCGAGCGTAAGCAAAGGAAGTATTGTAATCGAGTCCGTCGGCCGACTCTCTACTTTTACGTTTTCTCGATCTTTCATGACCCCTAGAAGACGAAGAAATAGGTCTCCCATTTCCGTCTGTCTGTCCGTCTGTCCGTCTGTCCGTCTGTCCGTCTGTCCGTCTGTCCATCCGTCTGTCCGTCTGTCCGTCCGTCTGTCCGTCTGTCCGTCTGTTGTCCCGGATTTTTATTAGACAGATAATCTCCGAAAGTACTCGAGCGATTGTTGTGAAATTTTGTACTTATATTAAGAATATCATGTAGATGGTAAAACGCTAACCAAAATTTGTCTAATCATCCCCACCACTAATGCGATGACGTCACTTCAAAATTGTACATAGTAAATGGGTTTTCAATTGTATCAAATAACATAGTCCTATACATGTAGTTTACAACTCCGAATCGACTTTTCACCCGAAACGTCCAGATTTTTGGAAAAAAAATCAAAATTATAAAACAACATTTTGAAATTTAATTTTTAATCTGCTAACCAGAATGCTTTGAAATGTTGCAGATGTTTTAAGGCTATAAAGAGCATCATAAATCTTTAGTCAAAAAATATTTGCTTATCCCCTCCAAAAACTTGATGACGTCAGCTCAAAAGTTTGTGGAATAAATCATATCTAAAATGTACAAAATATGATGAGTCTGTACTTGTGATCTATCACTCCATTCATATTTTTTGGATTTGCATATACAGGGTGACTCAAAAAAATTAATGAATGCGTAAATTTATTTTACTGATTTACTCAGAAACTACAAAACCGAATGCTTTGAAATCTTGCAGATGTTTTAAGGTTCTAAAGAGCATAATAAATGTTTAGTCAAAATATATTTGCTTATCCCCTCCAAAAAATTGATGACGTCAGCTCGAAAGTTTGCCGAATAAATCCTATCTAAACTGTAAAAATATGATGAGTCTGTACTTGTAATTTATCACTCCATTCATATTTTTTGGATTTGCATATACAGGGTGACTCAAAAAAATTAATGAATGCGTAAATATATTTTATTGATTTAATCAGGAACTACAAAACCGAATGCTCTGAAATCTTGCAGATGTTTTAAGGTCATAAAGAGCATAATAAATGTCTAGTCAAAATATATTTGCTTATCCCCTCCAAAAACTTGATGACGTCAGCTCGAAAGTTTGCCGAATAAATCATATCTAAAATGTACAAAATATGATGAGTCTGTACTTGTCATTTATCACTCCATTTATATTTTTTGGATTTGCATATACAGAGTGACTCAAAAAAATTAATGAATGCGTAAATATATTTTATTGATTTAATCAGGAACTACAGAACCGAATTCTTTGAAATCCACTGCGAAAAAAAAAACATAATAGGCATGCAGTCGTCACGTTTCCGACAGCGAGGGAAGTACTGTCTAAACTCTTTAGACCAATTTTTTAAACTTTCCGTAGGTTATGCAATTTTACAATTATGTATTACATTTTTCAATTTAACAATTTTTCAGTCTCTCAGTTTTGTACTTCTTGATTTTTCTGATGTTTCAATTTCTCGATTTCTTAATTGCGACTTTTTCAAGTTTTTGATTTTACAGTATTTTAAATTTCTTCATTTTTTTTTTCTATTATTTGCAATTTTGGTAGTTATCAATACCAATTTTGATTTTTTCAATGTTTCTTGCGGTTTTTAGTTTTCCGATTTTGATTTTCCATCTTTTCCTTTGAAGAATTTCTAAGTTTTTTAATTTTATCATTTTTACCACGCATTTTTTGCTTTTTCTAATTTTGACTTTCCTATTTTTCGATTTGCATTTTTTTTTGTCTTACAATTTTTCGATTTTACAACTTTTACATTTTTCAGTTTTTCTCAATTTTCTTATTTGTAATGTTTGAAGTTTACGATTTATCTGTTTTATAGTTTTTAGATTTTTCAGTTTTCAATTTTTGTGAATTTACAATTTTAGATTTCTAAATATTTCGATCATTCCTTTTTTTCTTTCATAATGAAATTTTTAGATTTTTCAAGTTTGGAATTTTTTGACTTTCCCGATTTTTCAGCTATTAAACAGCAATTTTCATCTATTGAATTCAAAATTGTACAATGTTTTAAGTTTTTTGAATTTTACCTTTTATCGATTTTTTAATTTTTTTGATTTTTCAGTTTTTCGAATTGCAATTTTTGAATTTTTTTCTTTTATTAACAATTTTTTACATTTTTTCAAATTTGATGTTTTCAATGTTTCGATTCTTTTTAACTTTTGAATTTTTCTATTTTTCTCTTTTTAAGTTTCGTATTTTTGAAATTTTTAGATTTTTTTAATTTCCCGATTTTGAATCTTACGATTTTTTCGACTCTTCAATTTTCCATCCTTCCCTTTGACGAATTTCAAAATTTTTCAATTTTACCATTTTTAGCTTTTTCTATTTTTGACATTTTCATTTTTCGATTTGCAATTTTTTTGTCTTACCATTTTCTGATTTACAATTTTTGATTATTTTACGATTTATCTGTTTTATAGTTTTTAGATTTTCCAGTCTTTCAGTTTTCCGAATTTACAATTTTAGATTTTGCAATGTTACAAATTTTGAATTTTTGAATATTTTGATCACTCAGTTTTTGCTTTCATAATGAATTTTTCAATTGTACAATTTCTTAACTATTTCCTTTTTAAATTTAGCGATTTTGCAGTTCCCCAATTTTTCAAATTTTCAATTTGTAGATATTTTTCAATTTCCTAATTTTGCATTTTTCGATTTTTCCAATTTTTCAATTTTTCAGTTTTGAATTTTTTTAATTTTCCCATTTTCTAATTAATCAATCCACTTTCCAATTTTTAGCTTTTTCAAATTTTTCGATTTGCTAAAAAATTGCAATTTTTCAATTTTTTAATTTTTCAGTTTTAGATTTTTCAATTTTACAATTTCAAGATTTGATAATTTTTCGTTTCTTACAAAATCAAGGCCAGGTCAAGTCAGGTCAGGTCAATATTTGGGTATAATCTGAATTTAGAAAAAGAAACTTAGTAGAAAAATAAATCAATTGGAGAATTATACGTAGAACAAAATTAAATTAAAAAAAAGAGATGTTGTATAGGCAACCAATCATACACAAACAGCGCTAACCTAAAACAGTACACATCTGTAATAAATAAACAAATCTAGTCTAAGTTAAACTCAACCGTCATTCAGTGAACAACCCCATACCTCATTCGCCACATAATAATAATAATAATAATAATGATAATAATAACTCACATGCGTCGGAGAGGCGTTGAGTTTGGGAAAGTTGATCGGTCCCGGGCGCAGCTGGAGGGTGGATGGCTTCGAGGGCGTCGGCGGCAGGCGCCGCCCCTGGCCGCGCCGCCCGCCCAGCATCGGGTGGCTGTGCTGGACGCTGCTCTGGTGGGCCGCCGACTGTTGCATCGGGATACCTACCACAGCACCGGCTGTGAAACCGTCACCTGGCTCGTTTAGTCTCTACGTTCGTCGACACCTACACTTACCGATTATGGGTGGACCTTGGGGGTGAGGGATGGGGTGTGTGGGACTGGGCGAGCGCGAGCGCTGGCACAGGCTCGTCGTGCCGTAGCCGCCGCCACGACGAGACGAACGCAGGGGGCCGTAGCCGGAGTTGTGGCGGACGCCCGCGTGCGTGGGGGAGGGAGACCGGGCGGGGCTGGTCGACGCGGACCAAGAACCTGGAGAAAACGGGACTAGAGCGGGAAGTCGAGAGAGAGCTGATGCGGCTAGTTACCTCTGATGCGGGTGTGGTGAGAGGAGGACTTGTGGTGTTCGTGCTTGACGATCTCCACCACGTTGGACACGGTGTCCGAGAAGCCGATGTCGTGGTGGAGGTGCGGGGGGTACTTGCGGCGGGGGGAGGGGCTTCTTTGCATCGAAGGCGAGTTGCGTCTGAAAAGGGGTTTTGTTAAAAGGAATGTCGAAAAGAAGTTTGGGGGTTCCGAGCTTTTTTTTATTAAAAAAGAATTTTGGGCAAATATTGAAAGAATCTCGGGTTTCCAAATGTGTTTTTATTGTTAAAAGCCTTCTCAGGTTTCTATATCGGATTAATGTTTGTAAATGATTTGGTGTTTTTTTAACATTTTGAGGATCACTGTTTTTTCGTTAAAAAAAGTCTAGAGTTTTGACGGTCACTGGTTTTTATAAAAAATCTACGGTTTCTAGGTGTTGTTTCTTTTTAAATTAAAGAAAATCTCAGATTTATTAGTGTTTTTTTTTTTGGAAAAAAAATTAGGAACCGCTGGTATTTTGTTAAAAAAAACAAAACTGAAAAAAATCAGGTTTCCGAGTCTATTTTTTTTTGAAGATTTTTTTTGCAAAAAAATAGTTTTTGGTATGATAATATCAGATTTCCAAGTTTTGTTTTTCCAAAAAATTTAAATAATCTGGAGTTTGTCAGTGTTACCTTTTGACAGATTTAAAAATATCTTTTTTTTAGAACCTCTAGTTATCTTTTTTTTAATTTAAGAACGTTTTTAGAAAAATGTAGTTTCAGGTATTGTTTTTTTGTTTAAATAAAGATAATCTCAGATTTCTAGGCTTTGTTTTTCCAAAAATTGAATCTCGGGTTGCAAAGAGTCTGTTGTTTTAGAAAAAAAAAATAGTTTAGTTTTTTTGTAAAATATCTCTCGCTAATTTTTTAATTAGTTTTTTCAATTAAAGAGAATCTCAGCTTTCCAACGTTTTTTTTTTTGGAAAAAAAGAAAAAAATCTGACGTTTCGGAGTGTTTTTTTAAGAAAAAAAATCACCTTATTTAAATTTTAAAACAATTATTTGAGTGTCACTAGGTTTTCCCAAAACGAAAAGAATCTGGGGTCTTCCAGTGGTTTAAAAAATTTGAGGACCGCTGGTATTTTATTTTGGAAAAAAAATGTGAAAAAATCTCAAGTTTCCGATTCATTTTTATAAAAAATCTCAGGTTAACTTGTTTTATTTTAAGAACGTTTTGAGAAGCAGTGGTTTTTTGTTTATTTAGATGTTGTTTTTTAAATTAAAGAGAACATCAGATTTCCAAATTTCCAGTTTCTTGTGGTATTTTTTGACAGACTAAAAAATTTTGGGGACCGCTCGTAATTTGTTTAAAAAAAAAGAAAAAATCACAGGTTTCCCAGTGTTTTTTATAAAAAGAATCTCTGGTTATTTTATTTATTTATTTAAAACGTGGTTTTCTACTCAAAAAAAAATATTTTTTCTAAGTTAAAGAAAATCTCGGTTTCCAAGTTTATTTTTTGAAAAAAAAAAAAACACTTATGAATTTCAGATTTTCTTTAACTAAAAAAAGAAACTCTAGATTTTGTTGAGTAGAAAATGACGTTCTTAAATAAAAACAGATTTTTTTTATATAAAAAAAAACCTGGAAACCCAGTGACACTCAAAATGTATTAAAATGTAAATAAATTGATTTTTTATAAAGAAAACAGTATTCGGAAACCTGAGATCCTGTCAATTTTTTACAAAAAAAAACAACAAAAATATATTAAAAAAAAAACAAAAATAAACGAGAGATGTTAAAAAAACAAGTCGTTTTTTAAAATTTTTTCAAAAACAAAATACTAGCAGCAGTTTCCAAATTCGGTCAATAAATAACACTCAAAAAATGTGATCTATCAATTTTTCAAAAAAGAAGACACTTAGTGGAAATTTGAGATTTTCTTTAACCAAAAAAAGAAACAACACTTCTAAACTAGATTTTTTTGTGTAGAAAATCACGTTCTTAAATAAAAAACAGAGTTTTTTTTTTATAAAAAATACCGGGAAACCTGTGATTTGCTCTTTTTTTTTTCAACAAATACCAGCCGTCCCCAAGATTTTTTTGTCTGTCAAAAAATACCACAGAGATTGGAAATTTTTTCCTTAATTAAGAAAACGACACCTAAATAAACAAAAAACCAGTGATTCTCAAAACGTTTTTAAAATAAGAAAAGTTAACCTGAGATTTTTTATAAAAAAGACTCGGACACTTGAGATTTTTTTATTTTTTTTTTCCAAAATAAAACACCAGCGGTTCCCAATTTTTTAAACCACTCGGAATCTCGAGATTCTTTTTTTTTAAACCAGCGGCACTCAAAATGTTTCAAAATTTAAATAAGTAATTTTATATAAAGACAAAACTATTCGGAAACCTGAGGTTCTTTCATTTTTTTACGAAAAGGAAACACTTGGAAATCTGAGATTCTGTTAAAAAAAAACTACAAAAACCTACATTTTTTAGAAAAAACAAATAATAAACTCGATAAAAAAAGTAAACAAGAGATATTTAAGAAAACAAATCGTTTTTTCAATTTTTCGAAAACTGGTATTTTGTTTTTGACAAAATTTGAAAAAACCACTTGTTGTTTAAACATCTCTCGTTTATTTTTGTTTTTTCAAAAAAAAGTAGATTTTTTGTTGTTTTTTTTTTTTGTAAAAAATTGACAGGACATCAGGTTTCAGAATACTTTTTTCTTTATAAAATTTCACTTTATTTAAATGTTAGCACATTTTAAGTGTCACTGGTTTTCAAAAAAAAGAAAAGAATCTCGAGATTCCGAGTGGTTTAAAAAAATTGGAATTTTATTTTGGAAAAAAAATGTGAAAAAATCTCAAGTTTCCGATTTATTTTTATAAAAAATCTCAGCTTGTTTTCGAAAAAAAAAGAAAAAATTTCAGGTTCTCCAGTGTTTTTTATAAAAAGAACTTCTGGTTATATATATATTTTTATTTATTTAAGAACATGGTTTTCTACTCAAAAAAAATCTAGAGTTTGTAGGTGTTGTTTCTTTTTTTAGTTAAAGAAAATCTCAGATTTACAAGTGGTTTTTTTTTTCGAAAAAATGGAAGAATATCGGGTTTTTGAGCGCAATTTTTTTACAGAATTAAAAAAATTTGGAAACCACTAATATCTTATTATTGAAAAATTTTTAAAAAACGACTTGTTTTTTCTTAAATATCTCTCGTTTAATTTTTTATCGAGTTTTTTTATTTATGTTTTTTCTAAAAAATGTAGATTTTTTGTAGTTTTTTTTTTTTAATTAAACAGAATCTCAGATTTTCAGGTGTTTCTTTTTTGTAAAAAACTGAAAGAACCTCAAGTTTCCGAATACTTTTTTCTCTATAAAAATCACTTTGTTTAAATTTTAAAACATTTTGAGTGTCACTGGTTTTCCAAAAAAGAATCTCGAGATTCCGAATGGTTTAAAAAAATTAGGAACCGCTGGTACTTTATTTTGGAAAAAAAAATTGAAAAAACCTTAAGGTTCGAGTCTTTTTTTATAAAAAATCTCAGGTTAACTTTTCTTATTTTCAACACGTTTTGAGAATCACTGGTTTTTTATTTATTTAGGTGTTGTTTTTTTTTAATTAAGGAGAAAATTAGATTTCCAAAATTTCCAGTTTCTCTGTGGTATTTTTTTACAGACAAAAAAATCTTGGGGACCGCTGGTAATTTGTTGAAAAAAAACGAGAAAATCACAGATTTCCCGGTATTTTTTGTAAAAAAACTCTGGTTTTTATTGAAGAACGTGATTTTCTACTCAAAAAAATTTAGAAAAGTGTTTTCTTTTTTTTTTAAAGAAAATCTCAAATTTCCACCAAGTGTCTTTTTTTTGAAAAATTGGAAGATCACAGGTTTTTGAGTGTTATTTTTTGACAAAATTAAAAAAAAAATGGACACTGCTACTAGTATTTTGTTTTTGACAAAATTTGAAAAAACGACTTGTTTTTTTAACATCTCTCGTTTATTTTTGTTTCTTCTAAAAAAAAAGTTGATTTTTTGTTGTTTGACAGGATCTCAGGTTTCCGAATACTTTTTGAGTGTTACTGGGTTTCCAAAAAAAAGAATGTCGAGATTCCGAGTGGTTTAAAAAATTGGAATTTTATTCTGGAAAAAAATTTAAAAAATCTCAAGTTTCCGAGTTTTTTTTTTATAAAAAAATCTCTGTTTTTATTTAAGAACGTCTTTTCTACTCAAAAAAAAACTAGAGTTTGTAGGTGTTGTTTCTTTTTTTAGTTAAAGAAAATCTCAAGTTCCCAAGTGTTTTTTTTTTTAAATTGGAAGAAGCTCGGGTTTTTGAGTGTTATTTTTTAATAGATTTAAAACAAAAATGAAACTGCTAGTATTTTGGTTTTGAAAAAAAAGTTTTTGGTTCTTTTTTTACTTAAAATTTAAAAGTTTTGGCTGCCTCATTATTTGATGCTTGAAAAAATCTCACGTTTCCGAGTGCTTTTTTATATTTTTATTTTCTTTCAAAATGTTATTCTAGTTTTTGAAAAGAAACAGTCTTGAATTCCTGAGTGTTTTTTTAATAAAAAAAATCTTGGCAGCCTCTGATGTTTCGTTCTTTGAAATAATAATAATAATAATAATAATGAATCTCGGATTGCCGAGTATTTTGCTCAGAAAAGAAAATTTGTAGAAAAAATGTTCATACCGAAGGCTAGACGTTCTGCGATGCGTATTGCCGAAACTCGCCGGATGTAAATGCTGATCTACAATGCTATCACAGGAAGGTCGCCTCGAGCCCATTCCCTCTTGTATTTCCATCACCTAAACATCAAACCACACATAAACATTCCGCCTAAAATAGCCGCTTCAAGTCGTCGAAGAGTCGATACGAATATAAAAGCGAAAAGTGTCCCATTCATACCAGGTCCTGTCCCAAGAAGAACAATACAAGTCATGCAAAAAACATGCACTGTATTCCACAATTATACAAGATAAATAAGATCTAAAAACTAGAACTACCTCCGCCCTAAAGTGTAACTGACGAACTAGGTATAGCTGTCGAAGACTGACACAGTGCTACGGGCAACGCTAGAACTACTCTTCTACCGACAACCACGAACAAGTTAGCTAAAAAACAGTGACGCCAAAATTGTGGTTCCATTTTCTTTCGCTGCGGTTTTCGTCTTTCGGTCATGCAGATTGACTCCATTACGCTAATCTAAAACTGCTTCGACACCGAATCGTCGGGTCTAACTTCTAAGTACCTTCTAATCTCGTGACTAACTTACAACAAAACGTCTTTATCTGCAGCTGTAAACGAACATCCAGCAATTACCTATGGCTGCCGATTGTCACACTAACATTTTAACCTAAACATGTTTGACCTAATACTAATTTATCGCCAAATTTCTTATTTTCACCTTTTTATTCCTGAAAAAGAGACAAGAGTGAGAGTTTGTTCTCGATCGATCAGCGACATACCTCATGGATCGATTTCTCTTGGTGTTTCTCCGCGCGAGAGTGGCTAAGGAGCTCTCTTCGTGGGCATGGGAATCAGTGACCTCCTGGCCCCCCATGAGAGGGGCTCCCTCTAAACTCATTGAGCCTGTGCGACTTCCGCCCAAGTGACCCGCCATATCCAACAGGCAGTCAAAAAACGACGCTTTCTGTCATTCAACAAACTTTTACTTTAACCAGCTCTATTCTAACAGTCTCACAGTTCCTTTATTTATTACTTTTTTATTATCTTCATGGTAAAGTCAAAACAAGCGATAATGAACGCTACACTAGTGCTAGAGTAAAATGTTTGCTAGTCGTTTGTAAGTACAAAATGTGGCCAGAACCGGCGCTGGAGAATCAGACGCATTTCGCCGGTCGTAGAGAAAATGTCGAGCGAATCGAGGCGCGAAAGCGGCGCCTGGTTCTCCCGCGCCGCCATCGAACGACGAACTGTCGGTACGATGTGTTGTAAAACACACTAAATGCAAAAACATGCAAGATCCAAACAATACTTCAACGTTACCTCAGTACTCTATAGTGTTTACACAGTTATAATACAAAGATCGCTAGTTTTGTCAAAGCACACGAAAATGTCTAAGTTTGAAAAAAATCTCTGGAATAAAAAGCGGTTGGAGCATGAGCGAACCGCTGATTCGGCAATTTTTGGCGAACCAGAGGGCACTGCTTGGGGCTTGCTATAATACTTACTCGTGTTCGAAATTTTTGCGATTTTTGAAAATGTTTGTTTGGTGAAATGAATGAAAGAATCTCGGTTCTTGAGTGGTTTTTTAGATTTAAAAGAATCTTGAGGGCCCCTGGTGGTTGTTTTTTGAAAAAAAATTAAAAATTCTCGGTCGGGTTTCCGAGTGTTTTTTTTTCAGAAAGAGAAATTTTTTCGAACTTCGAAAATGTCAAGAAATCTCGTATTTCCGAGTTTTTTTTAACAAAATTAAAAAGTATGTTAAGTTAATAAGGTTTTTTTATTAAAAAGAATCGATGGTTTATCCGTGCAGAATTTTGAGAACCTCTGGTGTTTTGTTTTTAGAAAAAGTTTGAAAGGATTTCGACTTCTCGAGTGTTGTTTTGAAAAATTCTGATTCCGAAGAGTGTTTATTTGAGCGTTTTTTTTTTTGAAGAATCAAACAGGATTTTGTGGGCCTCTTCTGGAATTCTGTAAAAAAAAAATGAAAAAAAAATCTCAGATTCCGGAGCGTTTTTTTAATAAAAAGAATTTTGAGAACCTCTGGTGTTTTGTTTTTCTAAAATTTAAAGGAGTTTCGGGTCTACGAGTATTTTATTTTATTATTTTTTTAAATCAAAAAGAATCTTGAGAGCCTCTGGTATTCTGTTAAAAAAGAAGAACCAGAATCTCGGTTCCTGGACTATTTTTTTTAATTAAAGGAGTTTTGAGAACCACTGGTGTTGGGTTTTTGAAAAAAAAAAAAAAATCTGTGCTTCCTGGGTGTTTTTCTTTTAAATTTAAAAAATTTTGGATTTCCTATTGTTTTTTTGTTTGAAGAATCAAAAATAAATTTGTGGACCTCTGGCATTCTGTTCAAAAAAAAAAAAAACAAAAATAAGAAAGAATCTCGGATTCCGGAGCGTTTTCTTTTTTAATTAAAAAGAATTTTGAAAGACCCTAATGTTTTGTTTTTTGAAAAAATGTTAAAGAATTTTGGGTTTACAAGTGTTTTTTTTTTATTTGAAAGAATTTTGCTTTCTGGGGTGGATTTTTAATTTAACAGAGTTCCGAGCTTTTTTCTTGAAAAAATCCGACAGAATTTTGAGTTTCCGTTCCCGAGGGTTATTTTTCATTTGAAAGAATTTCCAATTTCCGAATATTTTTTTAATTAATTTTTTTTTTAAGAATTTTGAGAACTCTTAGTGCTTTGTTTTTGAAAAAAACTAAAGGAGTTTCAGGTTCCTGAGCGTTTTTTTTTTAATTTGAAAGAATTTCGGGTTTTGAGCGTTTTTTTTTTATTTGAAAGAATTTCGTGTTCCAGAGTTTTCTTTAATTTGAAAGAAGTCCCTATTCCCGTGTGTTTTCCTTTGAAAAAAAGTAAAGAAATTTCAGGTTCCCGAGTGGTTTATTTTTAACAATCAAAATGAATCTTGATGGCCTCTGGTGTTCTATTAAAAAAAAAATATGAGAAAGAATCTCGGATTCCGGAGCGTTTTCTTTTTTAATTAAAAAGAATTTTGAAAGACCCTAATGTTTTGTTTTTTGAAAAAATGTTAAATAATTTTGGGTTTACAAGGGTTTTTTTTTAATTTGAAAGAATTCCGGGTCCACGAGATTTTATTTTTTTTTTTTTAAATCAAAAATCTTGACGGCCTCTGGTATTCTGTTAAAAAAAAGAATCTCGGTTCCTGGAGCATTTTTTTTTTAATTAAAAGAAGTTTTGAGAACCCCTGGTGTTGGGTTTCTGAAAAAAAATTAAAGAATCAATGTTTCTTGGGTGTTTTTTTTTTTAATTTGAAAGAATTTTGGATTCTGGGGTGTATTTTTAATTTAAAAGAGTTCCGAGCTTGTTTCTTGAAAAAATCCGACAGAATTTTGAGTTTCCGTTCGCGAGTGTTATTTTTCATTTGAAAGAATCGCCTATTCCCGAATATTTTTTTTTAATGTAAAAGAATATCGGATTCCGTAGTGGTTTTTTTAAGAATTTTGAGTACTCTTGGGGCTTTGTTTTTGAAAAAAATTAAAAGAATTTCAGGTTCCCGAGCGTTTTTTCTTGATGTGAAAGAAATTCGAGTTTCTGAGTGTTTGTTTAGAAAATTCGGCTTCCCGAGTGTTTTTTTTTTAATCAGAATTTTGTAGGCCTCTGGCATTCTGTAAAAAAAAGAATCTCGGATTCCAATGCGTTTTCTTTTTTAATAAAAAGAATTTGAAAACTCCTGGTGATTGGTTTTTGAAAAAAATTAAAAGAATTTCGGGTTCTTGAACGTTTTTTTCCCGAGTTCCCGAGTGCGTTTTTTTTAATTTGAAAGAATTTTGTGTTCTGGTGTTTTCTTTAATTTGAAAGGATTCACTATTCCCGTGTGTTTTCTTTTGAAAAAAAGTAAACAAAAAATCGGGTTCCCAGTGTTTTTTTTTTTTGAACAATCAAAAATAATCTTGATGGCCTCTGGTGTTCTATTAAAAGAGAAAAGAGAAAAAAATCTCAGATTCCGGAGTGTTGTTTTTTTTAATTAAAAAGAACTTTGAGAGACCCCCATGTCTCGTTTTTTAAAAAAAAATGAAAGAATTTTGGGTTTCCAAGTGTTTATTTTTTAATTTGAAAGAATTCCGGGTGCACGGGTGTTTTTTTTTTGAAGAATCAAAAAGAATCTTAAGAGCCTCTGGTATTCTATTAAAAAAAAAAACAGAATCTCAGATTGTTGGGTTGGTGTTTGGTTTTTGAAAAAAAAAAGGGAATTTAGGTTTCTTGAGTGTTTTTTTTTTAATTTGAAACAATTTCGGAATTTCCAGTGGTTTATTAATTTGAAAGAATCCGAGTTTCTTTTTCTTAAAAAAATCTGAAAGGATTTTGAGTTTCCATTCCCGAGTATTTTTTTTTTTTTTGAAGAATCGAAAAGAATCTTGAGGGCCTTTGGTGTTCTAATTAAAAAAAGAGAACATAAACTTGGATTCCGGAGTGTTTTTTTTTTTTTTTATTAAAAAAGCACTTTGAGAGACCTTGATGTTCTGTTTTTTGAAAAAATTTTGAAGAATTTTAGGTTCTCAAGTAATTTTTTTTAATTTGAAAAAATTCCGGGTCCACGAGGATTCTGGAGAATTTTTTTAAATAATTTTTGAGAATTCTTGGTGTTTGGTTTTTGGAAAAAAATAAAAAAAGAACTTAGGTTTTCGAGCTTTGAAAGAATTTCCGAATATATTTTTTTAATTTAAAAGAATTTAGTTTTTTTTTGTTTTGAAGAAAAGAATGTTGTGGCCCTCTGGTATTTTGTTAAAAATAAGAAAGAATCTCGGATTCCAGAGCGTTTTTTTTTTATAAAAATAATTTTGAGAACCCTTGGTGTTTTGTTTTTGAAAAAAATGAAAAGAATTTCCGGTTCCCGAGGGTTTTTTTCTGAAAAATTTCAAGTTCCCGAGTGTTTTTTTTTTAATTTGAAAGGGTTTACGGTTTTTTTTTTTGAAAAATCATATAGAATCTTGAGAGCCTCTAGTATTCTGTTAAAAAAAGAACCAGAATCTTGGAGCATTTTTTCTTTAAAAATAGTTTTGAGAACCCCTGGTGTTTTGTTTAGAAAAAAATTAAAGAATTTAGGTTTCCTGGGTGTTTTTTTTTTAATCTGAAAGCAGTTCCGATTCCGGAGTGCTTTTTTTAAAATTTGAAAGAATTTCGATTTTCCGAGTGTTTATTTCGAAAAAATTTGAAATAATTTCCTAATCCCGTGACGAATCAAAAATAATCTGGAGGGCCTCTGGTGTACTGTCAAAAAAAAATGCAAAAAATCCCGGAGTCCGGAATGTTTTTTTTTAATAAAAAAGAATTTTGAGAAACCATGATGTATTGTTTTTTGAAAAAAATTGAAAGAATTTCGGGTTTCCGGGTGTTTTGTTTTAAGTTTGTAAGAATTTCTGGTTCCAGACAGGTTTTTTTTCAGTTTGGAAAGAATTTCGTGTTCCTGAGCGTTTTTTTTTAAGAATCAAAAAGAGTCTGTGTATAATTAAAAAAAATTTGAGAACCTCTGGTACTTTTTTCTGAAAAAATTTCAAAGAACTTAGGGTTCCCAAGTGCTTTTTTTATGAATCTAAAATGATTTTGGGGTTTCTGTACTTCCGTTAAAAAAAGAAAAAAATCCCGAAGTACCAAGTGTATTTTTTAGCATTAAGTAAATATTGAGCGAGAGTCTCTGACATTTTTCTTTTATTTTTTGAGGACCCATGGCGTAATGTTTTTTGAAAAAAATTGAAAAACTCTCGTTTTCCCGGGTGTTTATTTTTTGAAAAATCAAAAAAAATTTAGTATTCTATTTGAAAAAAAAAAGGGAAAGTATCTCGGGTAAGGGAGAATTTTTTTTAATTCAAAAGAATCTTTACAAATGGTTTCTGGTGATTTTTTTAATTGAAGGAATCTCGGATTTCCACCTTTTTTTTTTAATAAAATGAAACTTTAGAATCCTTGGTGTTTTGTTTTTCGAAAAAATTTGAAATAATTTCCTTTTCCCGTGAAGAATCAAAAATAATCTGGAGGGCCTCTGGGGTACTGTCAAAAAAAAAATGCGAAAAATCCCCGAGTCCAGAATGTTTTTTTTTTAATAAAAAAGGATTTTGAGAAACCATGGTGTATTGTTTTTTGAAAAAAATTGAAAGAATTTCGGGTTTCCGAGTGTTTTTTTTTAAGTTTGTAAGAATTTCTGGTTTCAGTTTTTTTTAGTTTGGAAAGAATTTCGTGTTCCTGAGCGTTTTTTTTTTAAGAATTAAAAAGAGTCTTTGTTTAATTAAAAAAAAATTGAGAACCTCTGGTACATTTTTCTAAAAAAATTTCAAAGAACTTAGGGTTCCCAAGTGCTTTTTTTATGAATCTAAAAGGATTTTGGGGTTTCTGTACTTCCGTTAAAAAAAGAAAAAAATCCCGAAGTACCAAGTGTATTTTTTAACATTAAATAAATATTGAGCGAGGGTCCCTGATATTTTTCTTTTATTTTTTGAGGACCCTTGGCGTAATGTTTTTTGATAAAAATTGAAAAAAATCTCGTTTTCCCGGCTGTTTATTTTTTGAAGAATCAAAAAATTTTTAGTATTCTATTCGAAAAAAAAAATGGAAAGTATCTCGGGTTAGGGAGATTTTTTTTTAATTCAAAAGAATCTTTACAAATGGCTTCTGGTGATTTTTTTAATTGAAGGAATCTCGGATTTCCACCTGTTTTTTCTTTTAATAAAATGAATCTTTAGAATCTTTGGTGTTTTGTTTTTCGAAAAAAATTGAAATAATTTCCTATTCCCGTGAAGAATCAAAAATAATCTGGAGGGCCTCTGGTGTACTGTCAAAAAAAAATGCGAAAAATCCCCGAGTCCGGAATGTTTTTTTTTTTTTTTAATAAAAAGGAATTTTGAGAAACCATGATGTATTGTTTTTTGAAAAAAATTGAAAGAATTTCGGGTTTCCGAGTGTTTTGTTTTAAGTTTGTAAGAATTTCTGGTTCCAGACAGGTTTTTTTTTCAGTTTGGAAAGAATTTCGTGTTCCTGAGCGTTTTTTTTTAAAGAATCAAAAAAGTCTTTGATTAAAAAAAATTTGAGAACCTCTGGTACTTTTTTCTGAAAAAAATTCAAAGAACTGAGGGTTCCCAAGTGCTTTTTTTTATGAATCTAAAAGGATTTTGGGGTTTCTGTACTTCCGTTAAAAAAAGAAAAAAAATCCCAAAGTACCAAGTGTATTTCTTAGCACTGAATAAATATTGAGTGAGGGTCTCTGACATTTTTCTTTTATTTTTTGAGGACCCTTGGCGTAATGTTTTTTGAAAAAAATTGAAAAAAATCTCATTTTCTCGGGTGTTTATTTTTTGAGGAATCGAATGTTCTATTTGAAAAAAATGGGAAAGTATCTCTTTTTTAATTCATAAGAATCTTTACAAATGGTTTGTGCTGATTTTTTTAATTGAAGGAATCTCGGAGTTCCACCTGTTTTTTTAATAAAATGAATCTTTAGACCCCTTGGTGTTTTGCTTTTTGAAAAGATTTGAAAGAATTTCGGAAAACAATTGGGGTATCCCGTACTTTATTAAAAAAAATCTGAAGGTCCTTAGTAAACTGTTTTTTTGAAAAAAACTGTATGAAGTTTAGGCGCTCCTGGTGTTTGTTTCTCAAAAAAAAATAAATAAAATTAAGACAATCTTCCGGATCGCTGGCGATCTGTTTTTTGAAAATTTCTAACAATACTTATTACTCATATTCGAAGTTCGAAAATGCAAAGATAATGAAATCCTGGATACCCGACCGTTTTTTGTTAAAGAATTAAAAACTTTCTTGGGGCCCCTGATGTTTTGCTGTTTCGCATTCGAAACGTATGTTTCACCAATTTTGATTCGTTTCGAGTTTACAATTGAAAGTAAACGGCATGTCAGTTATTTTGAATAAAAGATTAGTGAAAACATGCGAAATAGTCTGAAAAACCTCGAAAACGTAGTGAGAAATGGTTAAATAAAACATGCAGAAAATGTTAGTACCTACGAATAGACAAAATACAGACAGATATTAAACTTGCAGGACAGATAAATGCACTTTCAATTATAGAACGCAACCAAAGTGCAATAAACAGGCACATTATGCTAACGAGAATGTAAAAATAGAAAATATGTACCAAATTACTACTACAGGACTGTACTATGAATGAGAATTCGTATTGTACAAGTCTAAGAAAAATATATAAAATGAAAAAGGGATAATTAATATACTACCGCGTGATTTGCTGAGGGACTATTTCCAAAACCCTGAAATAAATATACAACAGTTATAGGGCTACTACTTCTGAACTAAATTGGTTTTGTAGTGTGTGTAGTTTTCTCATTTATAATACAAAAATTAAAAATGTATTATAAATAAAATCGGGGGGGTTCTACGTTCTGTGTCATTTAGGGTCCATTTACTACTAGTCACAACCATGTGCCTACGACTTCTGACTCTTAACACATACTAAACACCTAAACTATGCTTTTCGCATTCTAATAAAATTTTCGCAAAGTCGCTAGTCCGACCCTTGTTTTGTCTAGTGATAATTCGTTTCTCGTTACGCCCGGCTGATCTTCTTTTGATTCAGGTTGATCGAAATCAACGAAATTTAGCAAACACTATCACAGATTTGAACCATTGTTAGTTTGACTGTTGGCCACAATAACTCAAACATCTATCTCTATGTACCCGAACACCGACCGCACTCACCGGAATTCCGGTGGGCTCCACTTGCCCGAACCTGGTGCTCCTCCAACTCTCCAAAATTAACAGTCCGGCGTACAATTTCCCCACCGTCAATTTCCCGTTGTTCAAATGGTCGGTGGGAGGCACCAGCAAATCGACCATGTTCTTCGCCTGCAGCGGCCAGATGTTCTTGATTGTCTCCCTCAACTCGTCATCGGCTTGATCCATTTCATCCGCTACCAAGAACACCAGTCAAATTTCCCCAAAACTTCAAACTTCCCCCAACACTTACCCGACCTCATTTTTATGTTCAAGTTTTCCCGGATCAAAGCGAACAGGGTGCTGGTGAAGTTCACCTTGCCTTCTTCGTCCACGGGCATGTTCATCCGAATCAACTTCTTGTACGCCAGGCGATTCGGACACTTGTTGCCGAAACCGAGGGGCGGGTCCATGTTTTTCAGCATATCGTACATCTCCACGTAGTGGATCTTCCCGCTGGAACAATGGAGCGTGAGTGGGCGTGGTTGGGGGGCGGGGCGACTTACGTGGCGTTCGGGTCGTACTCCGCCCAGATTCGCACGAATTCGTCCAGGTGGTGGGCGCCCAGGATGGAGGAGTCGCGGGTTAGGTAGTCGAAGTTGTCCATGATGACGGCCACGAACAGGTTCAACATCTGGGGAGTTTTTGTTAGTTTGGGGGGTTGGTGGGGTGCGGACTCACCAGGAAGGAGCAGAAGAAGATGAATGAGACGAAGTAGGCGTAGGCGATGTTGGAGCCGCAACTGTTGGCAGGTTTTTTGGCTTCTTGGTCGCATGGTTGGCCCTTGATGCACGAAAGCATGATGTTAGGCCAGGCTTCGCCGGTGGCGCATCTGTTAACAAAGACAAGTTTAGTGAAAGCTGTGAAATGCGCAAACGCAAAAACTAAGTCAGGTCAGGTTTTTTTCAATTTCAATGAAACATAACTTCAAAACGGCTTGAGCTTCTGGATTGCGGTTTGAAGCACCGGATTCCCCGAGACTTTCTATTTCTATGAACAAATTTTCAAGGCAGAGATTCGATTAGTTTAGTTTGTAGAAACGAATATTTGGACAGTGTCATTTTTGGTTCTTTTTCCAAATATAAAGGGATATAACTTCAAAACGGTTCGACTTTTCGCATTGTGGTTTGAAAAATTCGATTTCCTGAAGCTTTATGGTTTCGTAACACAATTTTTAGATTGATAACACAGTCCGTTCAGTTTATAGAGAGGAAAATACAAAAGGGTGTCGTCTTTGGCTTGAAATAAGGTTCTCTTCAATTTCAACGAGACCTAACTTCAAAACGATACGAAATTCCGCATTGCGGTTTAAACCACTCGATTTCTTAAAGTTTTCTGGTCTCGTGAGGCAATTTTCAGACTGAAAACCCGATCTGTTTATTTTGGAGAAACGGAAATAAATGAAGGTGTCATTTTTGCCTTAAAAAGTTTCATACCAAATTTCAACGAGACCTAACCTCAAAATGACAAAAGATGTCGCATTGAGGTTTGAAGCAGTTAATTCCTTGGAGCTTCCTGCTCCCGTGGTCCGATCTTCAAGCTAAAGACTTGATGTGTTTAGATTGGAGAGAGAAAAATATAAGAAGGTGTCATTTTCAGAAAAAAAAAAGTTTCTTTTTCAAATTCAACGATACCTAATTTCAAAACGACACGAGATTTCGTGTTGCAGCTTCAAACGTTCGATTTCCTGAAGCTTTATAGTCCTGTAGACCGATCTTCAGACCGAAAGTTCACCCCCTTTAGTTTGGAGGAACGAAAAATATAAAGGTGTCATTTTTGATCCAAGAAAGGGTTTTTTTCAAATTTAACGAGAGCTAACTTCAGAACGGTACGAGATTTCGCATTGTGGTTTGAAGCACTCGATTCCTTGAAATTTTCCGGTTCTCTGAATGAATGTACGAATCAAATTCTAGATTAGTTTAGTTTGGAGAGACGAATTTTTAGACAGTGTCATCTTTGGCTCTTTTTTCAATTTCAACGAGACGTAACTTCAATACGGCAAGATGTTGCTCATTGCGGTTTGAACTGTTAGATTCCTTCAGACTTTCTATTTCTATGAAATAATTTTCAGGGTGGAGACTCGATTAGTTTAGTTTGGAGGGACGATTTTTGAATGGTGTCATTTTCGGCCCATTTTTCAAATTCAACGGGACCTAACTTCAAAGTGGTACGAGATTTTGTATTGTGGTTTAAAGAATTCGATTCCTTGAGACTTTCTGCTTCAGTGCATTAATTTTCAGAGCAAGATACTAGATCAGTTTAATTTGGAGAGACGAATTTCTGGACGGTGTCATTTTTCGCTTTTCTTTCATTTTCAACGAGAGCTAATTTCAAAACGGCAAGAGATTCAGAATTACGGTTTGAAGCACTAAATTCCTTGTGATTTTATAGTCTTGCGAGCAAATTGTTAAACAGGGGGCTCGATCCGTTTAGTGTGGAGAAACGAATTTTTGGACGATGTCATTTTTTGCTCTTTTTCCAAAATCAACGAGCCCTAACTTCAAAACTACAGGAAATTTCAAATTGCGGTCCATAGTATTCGATACATTGAAGCTTCCTTGTTCCATAGACCAAATTTTAGACTGAATACTCGTTGCGTTTAGTTTAAAGAAACGAAAGTATAATCCCTTTTAGACTAAAAATTTTTTTTTGAAAATTCAAAAAGACCAAACTTTAAAACACCACGAGATTCTGCATTGCGATTCGAAGCGTTCGATTCCTTGATGCTTTCCGGTCCTGTGAGATAATTTTCAAACTAGAAACTCGATACGTTTAGTTTGGAGGGCCGAAAATATAAAAAGGGTGTCATTTTTGGTTTAAAAAAGGGTTTTCTTCAATTTCGACGATACCTAACTTCAAAACGGCACCAGACTTCGCATTGTGGTTTGAAACATTCGATTTCCTGAAGCTTTATGGTTTCGTAACACAATTTTTTGATTGATAACACAGTCCGTTCAGTTTATAGAGAGGAAAATACAAAAGGGTGTCATCTTTGGCTTGAAATAAGGTTCTTTTCAATTTCAACGAGACCTAACTTCAAAACGATACGAAATTCCGCATTGCGGTTTAAACCACTCGATTTCTTGAAGTTTTCTGGTCTCGTGAGACAATTTTTAGACTGAAAACCCGATCTGTTTATTTTGGAGAAACGGAAATATATGAAGGTGTCACTTTTGGCTTAAAAAATTTCATACCAAATTTCAACGAGACGTAACTTCAAAATGACAAAATATTTCGCATTGAGGTTTGAAGCAGTTAATTCCTTGGAGCTTTCTGCTCCCGTGGTCCGATCTTCAAGCTAAAGACTTGATGTGTTTAGATTGGAGAGAGAAAAATATAAGAAGGTGTCATTTTCAGAAAAAAAAAATTCTTTTTCAAATTCAACGATACCTAATTTCAAAACGACACGAGATTTCGTGTTGCAGCTTAAAACGTTCGATTTCCTGAAGCTTTATAGTCCTGTAGACCGATCTTCAGACCGAAAGTTCACCTCCTTTGGTTTGGAGGAACGAAAAATAAAAAGGTGTCATTTTTGGTTCAAGAAAGGGTTTATTTCAAATTTAACGAGAGCTAACTTCAGAACGGTACGAGATTTCGTATTGTAGTTTTAAGCACTCGATTCCTTGAAATTTTCCGGTTCTCTGAATGAATGTACGAATCAAATTCTAGATTAGTTTAGTTTGGAGAGACGAATTTTTAGACAGTGTCATCTTTGGCTCTTTTTTCAATTTCAACGAGACGTAACTTCAATACGGCAAGATGTTGCTCATTGCGGTTTGAACTATTAGATTCCGTCAGACTTTCTATTTCTATGAAATAATTTTCAGGGTGGAGACTCGACTAGTTTAGTTTGGAGGGACGAATTTTTGAATGTTGTCATTTTCGGCCCATTTTTCAAATTCAACGGGACCTAACTTCAAAGTGGTACGAGATTTTGTATTGTGGTTTAAAGAATTCGATTCCTTGAGACTTTCTGCTTCAGTGCATTAATTTTCAGAGCAAGATACTAGATCAGTTTAATTTGGAGAGACGAATTTCTGGACGGTGTCATTTTTCGCTTTTCTTTCATTTTCAACGAGAGCTAATTTCAAAACGGCAAGAGATTCAGAATTACGGTTTGAAGCACTAAATTCCTTGTGATTTTATAGTCTTGCGAGCAAATTGTTAAACAGGGGGCTCGATCCGTTTAGTGTGGAGAAACGAATTTTTGGACGATGTCATTTTTTGCTCTTTTTCCAAAATCAACGAGCCCTAACTTCAAAACTACAGGAAATTTCAAATTGCGGTCCATAGTATTCGATACATTGAAGCTTCCTTGTTCCATAGACCAAATTTTAGACTGAATACTCGTTGCGTTTAGTTTAAAGAAACGAAAGTATAATCCCTTTTAGACTAAAAATTTTTTTTTGAAAATTCAAAAAGACCAAACTTTAAAACACCACGAGATTCTGCATTGCGATTCGAAGCGTTCGATTCCTTGATGCTTTCCGGTCCTGTGAGATAATTTTCAAACTAGAAACTCGATACGTTTAGTTTGGAGGGCCGAAAATATAAAAAGGGTGTCATTTTTGGTTTAAAAAAGGGTTTTCTTCAATTTCGACGATACCTAACTTCAAAACGGCACCAGACTTCGCATTGTGGTTTGAAACATTCGATTTCCTGAAGCTTTATGGTTTCGTAACACAATTTTTTGATTGATAACACAGTCCGTTCAGTTTATAGAGAGGAAAATACAAAAGGGTGTCATCTTTGGCTTGAAATAAGGTTCTTTTCAATTTCAACGAGACCTAACTTCAAAACGATACGAAATTCCGCATTGCGGTTTAAACCACTCGATTTCTTGAAGTTTTCTGGTCTCGTGAGACAATTTTTAGACTGAAAACCCGATCTGTTTATTTTGGAGAAACGGAAATATATGAAGGTGTCACTTTTGGCTTAAAAAATTTCATACCAAATTTCAACGAGACGTAACTTCAAAATGACAAAATATTTCGCATTGAGGTTTGAAGCAGTTAATTCCTTGGAGCTTTCTGCTCCCGTGGTCCGATCTTCAAGCTAAAGACTTGATGTGTTTAGATTGGAGAGAGAAAAATATAAGAAGGTGTCATTTTCAGAAAAAAAAAATTCTTTTTCAAATTCAACGATACCTAATTTCAAAACGACACGAGATTTCGTGTTGCAGCTTAAAACGTTCGATTTCCTGAAGCTTTATAGTCCTGTAGACCGATCTTCAGACCGAAAGTTCACCTCCTTTGGTTTGGAGGAACGAAAAATAAAAAGGTGTCATTTTTGGTTCAAGAAAGGGTTTATTTCAAATTTAACGAGAGCTAACTTCAGAACGGTACGAGATTTCGTATTGTAGTTTTAAGCACTCGATTCCTTGAAATTTTCCGGTTCTCTGAATGAATGTACGAATCAAATTCTAGATTAGTTTAGTTTGGAGAGACGAATTTTTAGACAGTGTCATCTTTGGCTCTTTTTTCAATTTCAACGAGACGTAACTTCAATACGGCAAGATGTTGCTCATTGCGGTTTGAACTATTAGATTCCGTCAGACTTTCTATTTCTATGAAATAATTTTCAGGGTGGAGACTCGACTAGTTTAGTTTGGAGGGACGAATTTTTGAATGTTGTCATTTTCGGCCCATTTTTCAAATTCAACGGGACCTAACTTCAAAGTGGTACGAGATTTTGTATTGTGGTTTAAAGAATTCGATTCCTTGAGACTTTCTGCTTCAGTGCATTAATTTTCAGAGCAAGATACTAGATCAGTTTAATTTGGAGAGACGAATTTCTGGACGGTGTCATTTTTCGCTTTTCTTTCATTTTCAA